TATGTTATTGTATATCCACTCAGGGATGGGAGGTACTCAGCCTTCTAACATTTTCATCTCAATGCAAAAAAGTCTGTATAGTATCACTGTATTTCCTATTACATATATTACCTATCTTCAGAAAAATACTATACCGCTTTGTGAGTTTTATAAGAGAATATCTCAATATGCACAAAGAGAATCATTTTGTAATTTATTTTCATATTTCACTCATATGATGCTCTTTCATACACAACTTTATTGTTTTACAAGAAAGAGAGAGCAGAATATCTTTTAATGTGATTTGGTGGGAAACAGAGGACTTTCAACAGGTTTCTTGTTCATGACATTTTTAAACGGTGTCCAGCATAACTTCACTATAAGGCTGTCCTTGGATACTAAGGAATTGCTGTATTGTAATGAAGTACATATTGCGAGCATAAGATCTAGTGACCCCTTTCTTCCAAGATTATTTTACCAAGAGAAAATTTTGTAATGAAAAGGTAATGTACTCCCGAGCATTTTCTATTGCAGTAGAAAGCCAGCAGTTCTGTCGTAGCCTCATTTCATTAAACATGTTAGCAGAAATACTGGCAGTGTTCCATTCCTTTTATGAAGGTCCTAGCTAAGTACTTTATGGTCTTTCAGTCTTTCACAAAATCTCTGCCTTTGTAATCAGCTAAGGACTGGAATGGTTAAGATGGTCACTTAAGATTAGAAAGAATACAAACCACAAGAAAAAACAGTCTGCATAGTTAGATACCAATGTCATTACTCTAAGTAAATGTATTTTATTCTATTTAAAGGTTAGGTCAGTTGTTGCATTGAGCAGCTTAGCATACTCAATATGGGCAAAGTCATGTTCTATCTAAAAGAACTGTCCTATTTTTAAACTTTTATCTTACTTAGTACTATTTACAATGGAGCTGTGAATAAGAACTGTTTGTACAGTTTGTGGTAGGGGCGAGATTCTTCCTTCCAATTAGACATGAATAAACGACAGTAATTAGTGGTATTGGGTTCTCGCTCTTATTAATCTTTCAAAAGTTTTTTTGGTTATGCTTTCCCATCATGCAACAGCGATAGTCATCAAACTGGAACTGTTCACACTAATCACATTTAAGAATGGCATGCTAGTATTAATCTTAAAAGATTAACTCTTAGCTCCTTCCAATGCGACTTCTTGTAATTTAAGCCTGCAGTCTACTAGCCCTCTACGAGTACTGCCATAAATAGTGACTAATCTCCATACTTGGAACTGGTATGCTTTTGAAGCAAATTCTACTTTTACTTCCCTGCTCCCCCAAACCTACTCCTGTACCTTAGGGAAAAAAAGATGTCTGTCATGCTCACATGCACAGTCATTTCTGATAATTTTATTCAAACTAGTGGAAGAATGGCCCAGTGTTGTGATTTTTCTCTTAATTGGTACCCAAAAGATTTCACACAGGTTTTCATGTTCATTAATTGTTCATAAAATCTTATTAGACTATCCTACCTTGGGAGCAGGACATTTAGGTCTGGATGTATAAAAGGAGTTTGTTGTTGTGACTTTGGAGCAGGAGGACTGGATTATGGGTGTCCTACATCCTGGGTGAAAGCTCTAACCACCAGGCTATAAAGTCATTGCTGGGTTTCGCTCTCTGGACCAAATAACTCTTGGATTATTTATCCAAAGTGGAAGAGCTTTAAGAGAAGAGATTGAGAGAGAG